AGAGGGACAAGTATACCTGCAGCTTATATTGAACATGAGGAGGCTCCACCAAAGAAACGGAGACTTGGTCGACTGAAGTGTATGTCCTATATGACAGCATTTGAGATTGCAATGATTACTTGGAAGAGAATGATGATGAAACGATTCCTTTGGACAATTTGCATCACATTATGAAGTCAATGAGTGCACTGAGTGATGATCAACTACACACTACATCTCAGCTGAAAAGGGAATTCATGAATCACAATGGGAACAAGGTATTCATAACTACAATCAGGCAACAACCTTACATTGCAACTCTTACGGCACATGAAAATGTTGCAAAGGTGGACAAATCCGACATGGACAGTTTGATTAAAGTTGGGGGAGAATACATTCATACGCAGGTAGAGGGCATGTTGATGTGTATCTCGATGAGCAGATTGACACCAATCTTGATTACCTCCCACATGCATTACGCTTCTTTCTTCAAGCTATCATCAAGAGCTGAAACAGTAAACTCCGTACTGCGTCATTGGGTCAGGCAATAATGCATTCGACATGTCCCCATCATTTCTGCCTCCTCGACATGTTTGACAAAGTATCACACTATAACACATTTATGGTCATCGTAATTTAATGGAAATGATAAGCCAACTCGGTTTCAGCTCCTCGTAAATTTAGAAAATTCTCGGTGACCACTCATGGTGTTCACCTAATCAGTGACATTGCAGATACATTCGTGCAATACCAGGCTGGTTATATCGATCATACCAGCAAAATGTTTGATGGCCAATGCTCAATCCATGCCATGGGCGAGATGGTGAAACGGGAGGGTACCAAGAGTTAAGGTGGATGATGTTAAAAAAATCAACAGTGTCAAACTATTCTCACAAAGAAATCCAAAGGCAGTACTGGCGAACATTATCTATCCACCAATTGGTGACTTCTGTCTTCATGAAGAGAATAGCAAACTAGATATTTTGTGGAGTGCGCCACTTTTGTGTGTGTCGACCACTGTGATCCGGTTGCATGCAGTTGCTCCATTCTGACATTCCATACCCCAGGAAGAGCTCTGAGATATTCTTGTCGATTATCAACATGACACCAAGTGACGAATCCTGTGTCAGATCAACGCTGGAGTATATTTCCCAACTTTGGTGAATTGCATACATGATCATCGAATCACGGCCAGCTGAGAGCCCCTTGCATCAAATAGCCCTGGTCTTTGGGGGATTCCATACTGAGATGAGTTTTGTGTGTACAGTTGGGAATATGATAGCTGGATCTGGGTTAAAGGAGATCATCACTCAAGTATATATTCAGAGGGTAGTGCAGATCAGATGGCACAAGCTGTGCGGGCTCATTTCTTGAGGAACCACTTCTGCAATGCTCTTATCGTGTTTGATGGTTATTGTGGTGTTTTTCGACCAAGGATGAGCCCCATCAGAAGAACTGGAAGTGAGATTGGAGTGGATGTGGATTTCACACCAGACGTGATTCTGAAAATGAAGAAAAAGCCCTTTTGGCAAATGAAAGAAACGAACAGAAATTCATCACTCTGTTGGGGTCAAAAATCGAAAAGGGTGGGCAAACGCTCATCCGGAGATGCTGACTATGACATTGCAATGTCTGCCTGTACATTGACTCAAACACAGACTGTGGTAGTGATAGGGAATGACACCGACCTTCTCATCCTGTTGCAATATCACTTCAGACCCGATACCATGAGGCCATCTATCTTCAGACAAGTACAAAGATCATTGACATCTTTATCCTTCAGATGATCCTTGATCCTAATCTCAGCCATTCTTTGCTCTTTGTACATGCATTGTCAGGGAGTGACACAACATCGAGCCCATATGGCATAGGGATGGTCTCAGGAATATTCAAAGGTTTTCATGGTGACAGGGGGGAGATCGAGCACGCTGGTAATCACGCACTTGCAATATTCTGTATCCCTGGCTTGGATTTGAATTCTGAACGTGTGACAAAATTCACTGAGAAGGTATGTATCAAGCTCAAATTACCTACCCCTTCGACACCTTCCACCGACATCAGATGCTGCCAGATTGCCCAGCCAACGAGTCTGACTCAAAGAGCAGATCTGGCTAGGCAACAATATGGATGCGACAAAATGGGGCTGGACGCTTCACGAGAGCAACAAGGGCACTATATTGAAACCAATCACAAGGCACCAGGCTGTCACGCCTAAATTTCTGTCGAAAATAATCAGATACAATTGCACCGGAAAGTGTGATGAAAACACATGCTCATGCAGAAAAAAACTGTCTACAATGTACCTCAGCAAGTGGACAATGCAAAGGGATGACATGTTCCAATGGACCAAGTCATGACATTTCTGACATAGCTGAATAATCGTCTCTTCATGTCCAGTATATGAGTGTGAATATAAAGACTATCTTGAACTTTAGATATTTAAATTGATAGTAAGTTCGACTTGACAACTGTAGTATTGGAGGGTTATTCCCTCTTTATAAGCCTGTGTTAAGTATTTTGTAGTCCGATATGGAACAATTGCATTTTTTTCACTTTTCGGGCAGCCGTAATTTCACTTCAAAATTGTTAGATATATATTCCCCTGTCTTGATCCTATGAAGTTGATTATAAATAGACTCATCATCCATGTTTTGAATTTTGATTGATTCATTTTTTTTTACTTTTTCGATTTTCGTTTGTTTTGATGGCGGCCATCTTGGATTTGACCTATTTTGGGTGTTTCCCAAAGTCAAATTTTGGTAAACTATTTTGTTTTAAAGTAGACCTACCAAGGAACTGAAATGCGTTAAAAAAACACTTTTCCGTAAATTTTGTTGAACCTTCATGAAATATAAACCTTTAATTACCGGTCTACTACTGAGTGTTGAGAGGAAATATATAAACAATAATGTGTTTGGAAGCAACTCACACGTTTATAAACAGGAGTAAAGTAATAATATCATACAAAATACTTTAGTCCACAATTAATGCAAAGGGTGTATTTTTATAGTGTAAGCAAGGTGCACTAAAAACAGGCTGTATTGTAGGCGATCGGCACTGTAGACGAAGAGACATGGAAACCCTACCGTCACCATACAAGACTTGTGCTGTTGGAAGATGTCCCTGTAGAATCAGTGTTTACTGCACTAGTCATGTTACCTTCAAATACACATAATTGTGGGAAACCCAACAGACACACATGAGAAATGTAGGACTGGTCTTTATACGCTGGTAAAATGTTTTTTCTGTCCATTTGATTCACATTTTTGTGCAGTTTGGATATAGCCCCAGTGAACTTTCATCAGGAAACATAACATTGTCCCAATTGAAATGTCTGTGCTTCAAACACCAGTTCAAACTCTTCAGGTTTTAGGAGTGGTGATGGAATTCTTCGTGATTTCTGCCAATTCATTGCATGCAAATACGTTCTTAATGTCTCTTTAGAAAAATGAACTGGTCCTCTATTAATCATTTCATGCCAAATATTTTTTTCTTATGCGTCTGTTTTAGATGCCAATATACCAAGTCGGCTCATGTCACTAACAGTCAACTTCTTTTGTCTACCTGGTCCCTTTTTGTGCTCAATTACACCAACACCCTCATTATTTTTCAAAACACGGGACACAGTTGATAGTTGAAGGTCTGTTCTCTCTGTAATGACCTGTGCTGATTGTACAATTCAGAGATAATCTTTTTTATTTTTCTAAAGCCATTTCCACAGTGGTCTTGTTTGCCATCTGCTAGCTTGTTTTCGAAGGGAGATAACTCTGATCATGCTTTACAAATATGAGTTGTCTCCCTTGAATCGAAGTCAGAATAAGTTCTACAAACACCTTTGATATGGTAAATATTGATGGCCAAAATGGTTTGAAAAAATATTATGATTAGTATATATCAGCAGAAACTAGCTTTCATAGGAAAATTCCGTCTCCTCGGACAACTGGCCATGGGTCACCCTTGGAACTGAAATCGGTTCTAGTAGCTGCAACCTATCAAGAGAAATATCGCAATATTACTTCTTAAAACAAACTCATTCCTTCCATACTCTGTGAACCACTATTGGGACTATCAAACGATGCATACGCTGGAACTAAATGTCACTGCAAGGAGTTGATTTACATATCCGTGGGTGTACATATTTCTTGGTATGGTTTTCGCCAAATGCTGTCTTACTCTTTATTCTTAATACTATGAGCAAATTCATCATGAAGTGTTTCCCCACACCTTCGTCGGAAAATAACTTTTTGAAGGAAAACTAATATCTTGTTCAATCCTAACATGCATGACATTGCGAATGAAGATATGAGCGATCAATTTTCTACCCATCCAGAGTCGAACATGATAGTTTTCGGATAGTGTACATGTACTGTAGGCCTAGGAGTACTGCTGTTAGGTGTCATATGACAAACACTAATTTTTGTATGCATATTGTCGGAGTGGTATCGAAAGGACAGGACATGCTACGCCTTTTCGCGAACACCTGGTGTCATCACTTTGTTTCAGTGATCCATTCATATAATTTACACCACTATTTTGCCTTCAGCGCCCAATGGAATCTGTTTCGGCGGATAACCGGGACGGATTATTCTCTGGCGTTGATGTTTCATGAAAAACAACAAAGTCTTTGATTGCGATTGCATTTGTAACCATACATGTCTTATATAATTGTAATCTTGGTGTGATATTCTATTATAATGTAGACAAAGTCTTTTCAGCAGACACCCCATTATCAAGGAGGGACGTTTTTAGAAAATTGCACGCTTATTCATATTCGTTAATACTTTGTATATTCATTCTTATCCTGAAAATATATATTGTGTGCTTCTAAACTAACGAAAATTGAGCGGTCGGGTAGCCTAGTGGTTAAAGCGGGTTCGATTCCCGACATGGGTACAATGTGTGAAGCCCATTTCTGGTGTCCCCCGCCGTTATATTGCTGGAATATTGCTAAAAGCGGCGTAAAACCATACTCACTCACTCACTAACGAGAGTCTAATTTTTGAAATGTGCATCCCTTACAGGTGTCCAGTTGACTGGCCTGACGGCGTCTGCGTCAACGACAAGATCGACGTCTTTTCTGTCTGAATATGCTGTAGATGGAAATGTCGCCACAGGATGGATGTCTTCAACATCCGCATCATACTCGTACATCCAGGTCAACCTCCAGGGCTACTATGTGGTCAACACAATCACTATCTTTGCTGGACCAACGTTTGATGAATGTACGTATATAATTTCCTTGCACCATATGATCCCGTTTGGGGTTGTTTTTTTAGATGAGGTGAACACTATATTTACTTCTGCATGTGTTTTCGACGGTGCCAATAGTGTGGCAGAATATGCTCACCTTTTAGCGAACGCTTTGTATCATCACTATTTGATAGTGATTATTTACATTTGCTTGTGACAGGGGCGGTGGGGTAGTCTAGTGGTTAAAAGCGTTCTCTTGTCACGCCGAAGACCCGGGTTCGATTCCCTACCTGGGCAAAATGTGTGACGCCGTGATATTGCAGGAATCTTGCTAAAAGCGGCGTAAAACCATACTCAGTCACTGCTTGTGACATAGTCGGAATCGTACAGCTGATCCTTTCTTCTGATTATGGAAAGGGTTTTGACCTGTTTCACTTTGACCTTTCTCCCAAATGTTCCAAACTAATATTCATGTATGACCAATGGTCAGTCTTGACATGTGTCTTATCCAGAATGTTTACGACCTGTGTTCCGATCGGTATCTTTCCAGTAAGAGAACGCGCCATGCAATTACTGAAATCCCGAATAAATCTTGTCATCAATTACTCTTTATTTGCAGCACGACGTGCAGACAACGCCGCGGTCAAACTGCTCTTCTCCCCTGATCCGACCTCGCCAAACACGTGCACCTGCGGTACCACGCCAAGTAGCGTCCCGATGGGGAGTTCCTTCGTCATACAATGCTCATCCGGGTGCTCAGCCAGTCATCTCATTATTACAAAGTCTGCCAGCTTGTCGTTCGCGGAAATAATTGTTGATGCATCACACATAGATGTAGGTAAGATGATCATTTGATCTCCGTTTAAGTCTATCAGGGAGCAAGGAAGGCCCAGCTGGGGTAAGGTGCGAGACGTTCGTCTATAAGTCGTCCTAAGATTTTAATTTCCAATATTGTATTTTGTCCAGATCTTAAGTGCAAAATTTGGGTTGCTCGCCTTTGGGTTGTTTATGGGTTCGAATCCCAGAGTCTCCCTGATTATGATCCTTGATGTGTCAGTGTCCTACACGACTAATTTCACCAAGCTTTTGTGCAGGGATACTGTTCAACGCGGTGTTTCTGACATACCCTCAGCCTACTAAGTATAGGTAAATGCAATAGAGTATAGAATAGAATAGAATAAATTGAATCTGAATGGGAAGCTTCAAAACGACAATAAACATCCACATATTTATATGTCTGCACCTAAACAACAATAATTATTGATTTCAGCAACGAACTACATCCCTATCCCAGGGAAAGTGGTGAGGCCCCCATTTGTAACTAAAACATCGGCCACAGCTTCGGAATGTTCCGTCGTATGCTATAACACACCCGGATGTAGGGCTTTCTCCTTCAAGGCCAGCACCAGCGAGTGTTACGTGTCCAATCTCATCGGTATGGATAATGATTCTGATTGGACCACATATTCTCCATCGTCTAACCATGTTCTCTCTCAGTGTTCGATGCCTTTTCATGGTTGCTGTTGATCAGATGATACACATGAGTTGATTAAAGACATTATGCTGACATAACAAACCGAATGCAATGCTATAAACACGGCAACGAGATAGAAGAGATACTTCAGACTCATTGTTTCATCAAATGTCAATTCTCTCACGACAACTTAATCGATTTACCACATGTCAGCAATGGTTCTCGACTCAAGACTTCGATGTTCATCCCGTGAAGATCCGGGTTAGATCTTCAGCAACCCATGCTTGTCGCTGACTTTGTTAATGCATGTCATCGTGTCCCAGTTACGTAGATCGATGCTCATGTCAATCACTGGGTTGTCTGGTTCAGACATGACAATTTACAGACCGACGTCATATAGCTGGAATAATGCTGAGTGCGATGTTAAACAACAAATATGCATCAACCAAGTCGGCGAGCCTTACCATCCGATCCATTAGTCGCCTCTTACGACAAGCATAGTCGCCTCTCACGGCACGCAATGGGTTGTTGAAGACCTATTCTAACCCGGATCTTCACGGAACTCAGGCAGCCCGTGTATTTGAACTGTTTGTGCACTGATATCTTCACGCTGGCAACTTGTTTACACGTCTCACAATCTGCAATTTGATCAATGTTAAATTAATAGCATGTTTGGTCCGGAAAGTTTAAGTTGTTGAGTAAGGTGCTAATTGTTTCGTTTCAATTGCATTTACGTAATGGAAAGTGTTGAACAGTTGTTTTCGTGTTAAAGTAGAATGTAATTTTATGCACGGGCAAATGCTTTGGCAGAACAAACATTATTCTACTCTTGTCACCATTGAGTCGTGTTGAAACAGATGTACAATGAACATTCCTGAAACTTGAATATAATGTCATAATCTTTTTGCCTTATAAATTTGTATTTGCTCATATTAAACCTGTTACCTGCTGTTTGTTATTTAAAGCTTTTAATATTTGTTTTGTACCGTCCTCTGTAAGAACAGATTACACCAACAAATGACGCAAAATATTGCAGCTCCAGTTTGCCTTATACGAATAATGTTATGTTAGGTTTAGTTTGTTTTTTGTTTCTTTGTTTGTTGTTTAACGCCACACTCAACAATATTACAGCTATATGACAGAGGTCTGTAAATAATCGAGTCTGGACCAGACAATCTAGTGATTGACATCAAGGCCATCGATCCACGCAATTGGAATACGATGACATACATCCACAAAGTCAGTGAGCCTGATCCCGGTCCCGTTAGTCGTCTCTCTCGACAAACATAGTAGCTTTTTACGGGTTGCATGGGTTGCTGAAGACCGCAGGACAAACGGCACATGCAACCTTCAATTGGTAATTTTCAAATATCTATTTATGGGTTTTACAATAAAATGATAAAAATGAGAAGTTTTGCAGAAGGTTCTCGGATAGTTTCATGACCGGATTCAAAGCGTGTGTGGAGAGAGTGGCCGTGGGTGTGGGTATGTCCGGAAGGAGTCCTGAAAGCGGAAACCTGACTTTTCATGCTGTGTTTGCATGGTTTTTCAAAGAATACCTATCACAATTTGGTTGATAAGTAACTGCATGTAGCAATACGTATCTCCATTAACTCAACAATAACGTTCAACAATGTTTTCAGATAATAAAGTGTTTTTCTATGATTATGTACAAAATAAAAAGACAATATTTTGCAATTGTTTTTAGTTTCACAAATAATCTCTATTTTACATTTTGCAAGGGTAGTTGCTTATGACGCAACTGTATTTGTCACTTGGTTGCAATTTAAATGCCCTCTGAATTCTTGATAAGGACACACAAAAGGATGGGATAAAATATAATATCCCTAATTTCTGAAAGCATGTGAAAATATTGTAGCTGAATACATTTCACATACATGCTGAAAGAGTAATAATATCATTTGATCAAATAACGTAGGTCAACTTGGCACATTATTATTACACCACCAACATCATATACAACTTTTTCAGCCTGTATTAAGGTTACCAAATTAAGTCTTCCCTTCGACATTTAAAATAGTAAAGAGTAGATATAGAGCACCAACACCAGAGAATAATCATATTACCAGTCACAGTTATCTGACGACTTTGCGTCCTTTGTGTCCTGCTTACACCACCGATATCGCCATTATCATTAATATTGTATAAAGTTTGTGTTTGTTACATCTCGACGGAAATGAGTGAGTGAGTGAGTTGGGTTTAACGCCGCTTTTAACAGTATTCCAGTTATATCGCAGCGTGTCAGCTTAATGTGGGAGGAAAGCCCGAAGTGATGCAGGTCTCGGACGTTTACCACATCGGCGGCCTCAGATGACTGGGCCAACCGTGCCCCTCGACGGAAATGAAAAAGACGTGTGCAGTAATAGTTCCGTAGGGCACACTGCCTTTTTTCCAATAAGAGTTTCTCAAGTTTCTCTGAATGATTTATCGAAGTACATATTTTTATATGACAGTGTTGAACAATGGTTGTGGTTGTGTTGTATTGTTCTGTTGAGATTCGGTAGACGTTCATTGCATTGCATTTGGACAATGATTAGTCGTCAGGAATGTGGTACTATTTAAGCAGTCGTCGGGATATACTATATTGACATGCTAGTGTGGTGCGTAAACTTCCGGTATAACGCGGACTGTGATGGTGTGTTATGGGAACATGTGGAATGTTACAGTGCCACTAGACTGGTGAGGGCACTGTGTAAAAATTTCAAGTAGCTAGTTAGGCTGTATGTAAGGGACCAAGTGGGTGTCTACGTATATCTCACTCATTTCGTCACATCGAGACCATCTTTCGTGTGGAGATCGTTCATCACCCCTGGTTCCCTGCCTGGGCCCTCGGAAGCTTGACCACTGTCGCCGATGGGTTAATACATATTATTATCACTGACTTTTGCTATCACGACTGTATTTTTGTATTTGATACTGACCACTGCCATCATATTATATATTGCCATTGACTATTGTACTGCCACCCTATTGTGTACTGCCATTGAATATTGTACAACCACCCTATTGTGTACTGCCTTGTAATTGCCGTGCAGTTATTTGTACTGATTGGCAAACTTAGTGAAGTTTGTAATACATTTGTTGAATGTATGCCACTTGTTGGTTGGTTGTTGGTTTCACACTAAGTTCTTTTACGAACTGATTTCTTTGTTAACAAACTCTTTCAATTTGGGAATCGACACGTAACAATATACTTTGACGTAAAGGTCTGCGACCTGCATCACGTAGATCTTCCATTACATATTAAGCCGACACACCGCGATATAACAGGGATAATTTTCACACACTCACTCATATACCCTTTGCTTGACAAGGTGTTTAACGGCTCTGCATTATGAAAAAAAATCTTTTGAAAATGGTTGACAGGTTATTGCTCACTACTGCCAATAGTTTGAATTACGGCAACGTATTATTGATACGATTCCTTGTGCAACAATACTCAAACCAGTCGATGTCCAGGAACATGTTATGTCAAATTAACTGACAATTTCATGAGACGTGTCGTATCATTATCTGATCAATTGAGTACATGTTTGTGATCTGTTGATGTAATAATCTGTGATGAGATCAAGACAAATACGTTTGTTTTCGCACAGAGTAACATTAAATTAATTAAAATCGTGCTGTTCGAATATAACATCAGCTGATATTAAACGATAATATTGTAAAAACGCTTCTCTAATCGAAAATATAAACACATTTAAGACTGAGCAAAAAAACAAATACAGTATATCAATATGAACAGCAAAGTAACATTCCATACGGCAAGCTGTTTTGATTTTTTTGTTTTGCTGACCTTGTCATCGTCAAAGGAGCTGCTGTTGATCACATATGGATTTAACACTATTTTCTTTCAAGTAAAATGAAAAGGGATTGGTCCACAGGCCATGCCTATTTAAAGACCTCTCTAGTACAACATTGTTTGTTGATCGCAAATACTTGCAACTTTATGACAGAAGATTCATATTGACCTCAAAGGGAGGGCCTCTTAATGTGATTACAATGAGGGTGACTTCAAAAATCCATCAGAAATCAATGTGACAATCATGATAAATATTTGCCATGTGTCATAATTTGGAACAAATCTAAAATTGTATTGCTTTGAACTGATTTCTTTCAACAACGTCAAAAAGCCTATTCCCTCCCACTGGTTTACCAACCTAAACTAGAAATAAGAAAGACCAGTTTGATCGCAGCATCTGTTTCATATATATAGATCTATGCATAAATATTCAGAGCGGCAGAAACTCCAACAGAACGACCATATGACAAGTTGGACTTCAACTTAAACTTTGTAATGGTCCCCTTATGTCGATCAATACTGAAACAGCTCCAACCTTTGT